CTCCCTTCTCTCCCGGCTTCGTCCCGCCCCCGGGTTTCCAATCCGCCCAGGTCGGGGCCACCGGTCTCCCTCCTCCACCCCCGCCGCCGCAGTTCGGCGCGCCCCCGCAACCCGGGCTCCAGCGCGCCGTGACCATGCCCGTACGAGCCGTTCACGGCGGGCTGGCCTCACCGGGATTGGCAAGCCCCTACGGCAGCAACTTTCCCGGCACCCCGGGCCTGCAGCCCCCTCCTCCTCCTCCACCGCCGCAGACAGCGCCGGCCCAGCAGCCTCAGCAACCGCCCCAGCAGCAACAGACCCAGCAGCCGACGCCGCCTCCTCAGACGCCAGGCGCGACGGGCACGCCTCCGGTTGCGAGCCCCGGAGCCACGCCGATCGGGGGGTTTTCGCAGTACTCGTACACGACGCAGCCGCAGTCGCCGGCGGCGGTGGACTACTCGGTGCACCAGCAGCTCTACCGGCCGACGGAGCAGGAGGCGGCCCGGTACAAGGGGTACATGGTCAAGCAGGAGCCGGCGGGCAAGTTAGAGGCGAACGCAGGGCGGCTTGAGAGGGGCGTCACGGGCATGCTGAGGAAGTTTGAGAAGAAGTTCGGATGAGCATGTTCTTGTTGTTTCTTGTTGGAAGGCGAAATATGGTTTCTTGAGTGGTGGATTACTAAGACAGGCTTTTTCTCACGAGATAATCTGATAATTGAGGGCTTTTGATATGAATTCTGCGCGATGAATTTGTTTGATCGCAACGACTTTGCTCACGCTTTACGTCCGGCCAGGCGCGTTGATCGTCATGATGATGCTATGCTTGCACCTAATCTTAAACATCCGTCTTTTCATATTACTTAAGTGGACATGAAGTCTGGAATCGATGCTTACCAGCGTGACCGAGTTTCCTTAGGAAAGGAGGACAGGCATCACATGGCCCTGAGTGCATTCCAAATCATCATGGCCGTGGCTTCGCATGCTACTTCAGGATATGCGATCGTGACAAGACTGAATGTCGTTGTCTACGCCTGGAAACATTACTCAAATCATTTGGGCGGCATGCAACAATGGAGCGCTTCCCTTTGGACAAACAGACTGCGTTATACGTCATGCACGGGTGTCAGCAACAACGTGGTGGCCTGGTAGGATTCGCGACCTTGGGGGCCGGACGTCAAGGACCCGTGGCGCAGTGAGGACGGCTGCATGTTTCTTCTTGCTTCGGCAGATCGTCGTTGGGGCGCTGTGTTGGTTGCTGCGGTGGTGCTTTGTGCTTTGTGCTTGCATGAAGGCGGGCTCAGAGGATTCGCGCTGCAGGCTGCGAAGTGTGGTGGTGATCATCATTCAAAAACACTTCGCATATGACTGAGAGAGTGCACCGTGGGACGACAGCGTCCATCCCGCGTCCAATGAGATTTTGTGTGTTTCGCTGTTCCCCGGGTTGAGAGAGATATGTGCCGTGTGTGCTTCGGGGGCAAGCTTCTTGAAGCTCATCCCAGCTGAGCTGAGACGGAACGTGGGAGTGGCAAGTGTGCACTGCGAGTCTGCGTTGGCTCTGGGACGGTTGGAATGAGGGGCAGTTGGGGTAAACCCGCTGCTCGTATAATTGAAGATTGTGGCACGACGACAGGCCGATTTAACGTTGCGTTGCGCCTGGTTCAATGCGGGACGGATTCCGTGGTGCTGTGTGAAGCGTTGGGGACGGCGCACCAGAGGCCGCCACCGTCAACCAAAATCTCGTTCGACCCGAGGCATGGCCGGCTGCCCTGCGATGAGGTCGATTGAGTGCCAGACTCAAGTATGGACGAAAGTGGGATGCCACCCCGTTCCGCCTATGTCAGCGCTACTCGCGAGGAGCTGCGAATGAGAGGGCACGGCCAGGCGATTGGGCAATTTAAGACGACATGCAGGCAGGTCTTAGACAAGTGCGTCTTGTCTGAGACTTGCATTGAGACCAGCCATCCGTCCCTGAGAGTAGGGCACAGCTTGGAGAACTTGCAGGTTTGGGCATTTGGAGCCAGGATGGAATTCGCAATTGTGTGCGGACATCAGCGCATGGCTGGCAACAGGCACCATGTCGCAAGGATGACTTTGTATGCGCGAGATATCAGAGGCTGGTGATCAAACAGGTCTCTGTTCATACTGCCGTTGGTTGCGATGGGACAGCGCAAAAGCCACAGTGCGATTGGGGAATGAGGCGGTGCGCCTCATGGCGGGGCATCCTTGCTGTCGTCCAGAAGTCTCCTAGGCTCTGCCAACCGGTGTGGTTGGCGGCTACAGGATTGGTTTTTGCACTTTAATCGGGCTGGGGAACCCTGCAACGTCTGTGGGCTGTGGCAGAGCGCATTCTTGGATATCAGTCATGAGAACATGTCGAGAGGGCGGTGGCTGGAGGGTAATGCATCCCAGGCATCAGCGAATGATTCTGGTGTTTGGAGTCTCTTAGAAGTGGGAACATTTCGTTGATGGGTCGTCACTGGGCGGTGATGCTTGTTGCGCTTTGGGTCATGATGTTGCTTGAAATAGTAGCACGGGCAAAACTGGAGACGACCCTGAACGCTCGAGCGCGCTGATGTCCTTCCTCATGTGGGTAACAAGACCGAGGAGAGCAAGACGGCCAGCGGCATGGCGACTTCGTCACTCCTAAAGCGCCACATTGCTGGTCGAGTCGCTACGCGGGAAGTGACAGAAGCGAAATCAGTGTTCTGGAACAGGATAAAGCTGGTATCCGTCACCCTCGAAAACAAAAACTGCCTCGTCGCCAGGAGGAAGACAGTGTTTCGTCTGATGTCACGCGTGGACCCCGTGTCAAGGACGAGATGGGGGTCGCGATGGAGAAGTGACGCTGCGGTGGTCCAAAAGTTTTGGGTCTCGATACTTTGAGGTGAGCGTTTGGACAGAGTGGGATCGAATGGAGCGTTGTAGCGTTGCAGCAGCCAGGACAGCCATGGACCGAGGGGCCGGAGAAGTGGGCAGGGCTGGGTGGTGGTGACCACTGACGATTGACCAACAGGTTTGGCGGCAGCACCGCCTGGCGCACCGCCTCAAGCCCCGAGACTGGAGGTCGGGGTTGGGCTGACTGGCAATGAGGCGGCGATGGCTTGGTGGCTTGATGGCTGATGTTGAACTGGGAATGTTTAGGGTCTGACGGCATACAGCTGGAGATGGGCGCGTCAAGTGGTTCGTCGGTGAAGGCCGAGGGAATACCAAATGCTTGAATCTAATCGAAGGAAGCGGGAGACGCATTGATGGAGAGGTCGGTTCCCGAGATTCGGCTTGGTCCGTTTGCTGGACACGACAGGGCTCTTCCCTCCGCACTGTTTCGCCCGTTCGTGTTTCCTGTCGCGTATGTTCCCGGCTGCAATAGATCGATCAATAGTCGAGGGTTGTTCATTCGACGAACACCAGTTGGACAGGTGCCATCTTCTGCGAACTCAAAAGTTGCATTGATTGCTTCCCCTGCCATCCGGAGAGCCTCATCCAGTGTGGACGTCGTCGTGTGTCAACGGGCATAGCCTCTTGGGCGCCCGTCTCTTCCGTGGCGGTTCGGTCCCTTCGGGCGCAGGACCAGCCATCGGGGACGGGCGGTGTCTCTTGGTCTGATATCATCGAGGAGCTGTATCCGCGGGGTCCTTTGCAGAGGACGCGACGACTCGCATCGTCGCAGCAGAGGGGGCGGCTGATTGGCTCAGGGTCTGGCTGTTCCCGCCGCCGGCGCCCACTAAGGAGCATACACGAACCCGGGGTGGGACGTTAGTGTTTCCGTCGAGGTCGTGTTTTTGGAGGCCCAGGGTTGTCGGCGGAGGGACGGCCTTTGCACAGCATTGGGTAGGTAGGAATACTGTCTTGTTGGTGGTGGGTGATGATGATTGCGGTTTTTGGGAGTAGTCTGCGAAATGAAATGAAAGCACTGCGTGCACCGAGCATTGCATTGCATCCGGAGCTGCAGATGCTCGAAAGGAGAACGAGATGGCACCTCAGGCACGAGAGACAGAACCGAAGGAAAGGAAAAAAAAGGAAAAAAAAGAAAAAAAAAAAGGGAAAAGGCTTGGCTGGAACTGCAAAACGGGGGAATGAACGAACGGTGGTGCTGACGGGACCTGGACCTGACCTCCTCCTGCCTGCCCGGGCTGACGGTTAACCTGTGACCGTGACTTGACGCTGCTGCCTCCACGTCCCTCCTTCCCATATCCGTAATCCATAATCCATAATCTGGAATCCATCTCCATATCCATTTGCATCCAATACCTTATTCATATCCATCCATCCTTACCTACCTAGTATCCTTCAACCCTTCGCTGTTCTTCTCTCTTTCTCCCTCTCCCCCATTCAAACCCATCTCCTCCACCCTCAGCTCCTGCTAATAATAAGGCGAGGTCGGTCCCTAAATACCCAAAGGGCATCTCTTACACCTCCTGGCTGAACACACCCACTAGCACCCTCTCCAATCCCCATCCCGTGTCCCACCTGGCATCCTCGTACACTAATGCACCTGGTCCTGGTCCTGAACCTGGACCTGGACCTGGCCTTTGGGTTGCCCCCCCGGGACCTTGCCTGCAAACTGGGACCTGCACCTCTGTCCTGCACCTGTTGTTCCATTCCTTCCTGACCTTACCTTGCCTCACCTCGCTCACCTCATCCGCACCTCTCTCGCACACACTCACACACACCTACCAGCCAGCAGTCTGCGCTTCCCGCCGCTGCTTCCCTCCTTCCTGTCTCGTACCGTTCCTCCAACCCACCGGAAGAAAACCCTTCTCGCAACCGACTTCGATTACATTTCACGCGTCGCGAATTCCTCCGTATTGCGCTTCTCCATCTGCTGTTGTCACTTGTCGGTTTTCAATGTCCCAGCTCTGACGCTTATTTTTTGCCCTGCGCAGCTGGGANTTTTTTGCCCTGCGCAGCGGGGACGCCCCGCCGTAATTCGCCTTACGCTTTACCTTAGTCCCCTCCGCCCTCTTAACCGCCGCCTCTTCCGCTCTGCGCCCTCCATCCTTTGTCGCTCGTTTCTTTACCAACATGTATCTCAATATGCGAATACCTCTGCAGTTTCTGGGAGCTGCTCGAGAGCACTCGTCAAGGGCCTTGCGTCGCCGTGACGGCGACAGCGATCCCAGGAAAGTCACCATCATTGTAAGTACACCATCATGCCATGGCCCCGAGCCGCTCGTGCCAGTCAACAACACCACTAACACCTATCGCCAATACAGGCAATCCTCGCCGCCCTGGTCCTCATTATCTTCGTCGCCTTTGTAATATTCTCCTTCCGCGCCTCTCGACGCAATCGCAAGCCCTCGAAAAACTCCTCCCGTGGAGGCTTTCTCAAAATATGGAACACGGGCGCTGGCCGGAGCAGGTACCAACAGGCTCAGGATGAAGAATCAAACTCCACCGAACAGCTAGCCACCCGCAGCTCCCGTACTCGCCCGACTTCCCTGCGCTTTGATGCCTCCGCCAACCAATCTCAGGCCGACAGCCGCTCCCCCAACAGCGCTGTGAACCGCAACACTTCTATTCGCTCAGTCATGACCCTGCCAGCTTATAGGGTCGATGCCAACGATAACGAACAGGTTTTGGGTCGTGAGGGCGAGCGTGGCGGTGTGGATGTTGTTATTGAGTACCCGACGGAGGAGAATGAGGAGGAACTGCGTGACCAAGAAATGGAAGCACTGTACCAGATTCGCCTGGCTCGACGACAAGAACTCGCCGAACGCGAGGAGAGGAGGAGAGAGCGTCGCGAAGCGCGAGACCGTGGCGACCACGTTGCCCTGGAGAACATCCGCACGCAAGCCCGCAACGCCAGCAACAATAGTGTCGTTGGCGTCCTCCGCGAAGAGCATGAACGTATCAAGGCCGAACGCCAAAGAAATGTCTCTAGCGTGTCTTACGCCGATCTTGGCGTTGCACGTCACGATGGCACCCGAATTCGAGCCAACAGCCAGGAAAGCGAGAGGATGGGCTTGTTGTCGGACGCTGCTAGTATTGCCGCCACATCAACCAGGTCCGTTGCCGAGTCGGGCCACAGGAGAGGCAGCTCCGTCATGAGTATCGACAGTGACCTCCCCTCTCCTGGGCTGCCGAGATCCCGGGCGAACTCGCGACCAGATACGCCCCGTCTAGACACGAGAGCCGGTTCGAGCCCTGAGATTATCGAGGCCGATGTTGGAGAGGCCGGCATCCCCATCTACTCTCCTCCCGGATACGACGAAGTTTCCCTCGACGATGAACACTCCAGAAGCAACACTCCTCAGCCAAACGTCGAACCCCCTCCGACCTATCCCGGACCCTCTCAACAACGCGCAGACAATCTTGCCTCAAATATGGCCGACTTGGCCGCGGAGGAGCACACGCCTGGCCAATCTGGGCAGCAAAGCCAACAGAGCCAGCAGAGGAAGATACCACAATTACCAAGCCTTCGGCTACAGCAATTACCACAGATCGTGATCGAGCCGTCCAGCGCCAGACCTCGTGATGACGAGAGGTGACGGCTGGTCCTGGAGAGGAGAAAAGAAAGAAAACCGGATGAATGACGGCTGGATTTAATGAGCCCCCGTGCAAAGGAAGAAAATTTGGTGGCGATCTTTTTTTGATACATATGGCCTGAATTGGCAAATCACATACACACTGAGCGAGTGCTGCCAGGACGAGGCAAGCTCTCCAAACTCATTGTATAGTACCTTACCAGTAAACTGGATACCGGCGTTGGGCGAATCTCGGCCTGGACAGGGAGTTATAAAGGATACCAAAGCGTGTTCAGGAGGTTTAGCACCTCTGCGGCCTGCGCGCCCGAGGTTATCATCACATTTCGAAGCAATCATTTCAAGCTTTCACTCTGAACATGACTTTTTGTGCTTATTGATTCTACTACTCTCGACAGTATTTTCAGTCGAGCACTGCCTGAGTGCACGGAAGGTATGCTTTATGATCTGCATTGTATGTAAGTAACCCTTGCTCTTATGACATGGCCAAGTTGCTGGGGCCAAGTCGAAGGTCAATTCCTGATGCTTGGCCTAGTCTTGATTTTGGGTCCTGACCCGTTTGCGCTTGCCAAGCATCTTGGCCCAATGCTTGACTCTGCCTCCGGTTTTCCACCGAGTCAAAGACGAGCGACAGTAAGAGACCGTAGAAGAACTTGCGGAAAACCCATGCGCAGTATATGTCTCAGCAGGAACGATCAGAACCAAGTGTAGCCAAGACACTCAAGGGCCTCGGATGTGCTCAGGATTTGTGCTTGTCAGGCTCACAAAGCGCTATTTCTCTTACTCTTCGACGATACACATTCGCCCTGGGTGAGGGTTCTGCTGCACGTAACCTTGAAGTACTGGGAATGGGTTATTGAGTTTGTGCAAGCAGCCCTATGGGAGGCAATCGGACGACAGCCGGGGAAAGTAGGGAATCATCAACGGGTGCTTGGAGACTCTCCCAAAACCCTCGGCTTATTTTACTGTCACTTCTAGTAGCTCGTGTCAAACGAATCACTCTTTCTGTCCCGTACAGCAGGCCACAACCCGGATTCCTGATGTTTGGTAGTGTTCCCATCACAAGAGGTCGTTTCCATCAACACATCCTATCCTCTGCATCAATCTTACAATCGACGAAAAAGCACGAGAAACGGAGAGCAACTGACCAGTAGCACCTGACGATTATCAGAAGCAAAGCCAGAACGAAATTCGCCATTCGAAGTGAATATGCAACATTGACGCCTGTCATACATGTACTGCTTTGCGACCGAATGACAGTATCCGAAGTTATTCACATAACGCATTGGTGGGCGTTTGGCGCAGTGGTAGCGCGTCCGCTTTGCATACTCGCATCTGCGGAAGGTCTAGGGTTCAATCCCCTAAACGTCCATTATCTTTTGCCGATTCTCATGACTGATGCTTTTTTTGCTTTGATAGTCTTCACATGCACTTTTAGTTTTTAAGCGTCTTTCAAAATAGCTGTGCAACAGCTCACAACACAGATTGCGATTGTGGAAAATAAAAATAAAAAGATGGCTTGATTCGCTAAGCAAAAAGACCTCGGTCGGCCTGTGTATATAAAGTATCTCAATGAATTCATCCATGCTTTGCGGGCTCTGGTCGCAAAGTGAACACCTCCCGTCCCAAAACGCCGATAACCCAAAAACAGCCCGGTTCCCAAAACTCCAATTTTCATCCCAAGATATCATTAAATCCAGTGGTCGTCCAATGCGCGGTTCTTGTCGAGGTACTCATACACCTGCTTGGGGTCCTTGCACACATGCTTCGCGTCCCAGCCGTCGCTGCCCGTGAACCCGGGGGGGAAGGTCGTCTGGGTGCCCTCGAGCGCGACGTCGCCCGAACACAGGATGGCCTGGCGCAGGTACTCGAAGCAGTGCTGGAGGTGCCAGGGCCCGTCGGCGCCCTCGGTGCCCTCGGGGATGTGGGAGTGCATGTCGACGGCGGCGGTGCCGTTGACGGAGAGGCCGGCGTAGCTCTCGAGGATGGCGTAGAGGCAGTGCAGCTGGTGCGTCATGGAGGTGGTGAAGACGGTGCGCGGGGCGAACTCGGGCAGCGGCACGGGGAGGTTGCTGTGGGCGCGCGGGTTCTTGACCTCGAGGTAGCCGAGGCCGCGGGGCACCATCTTGAGCCAGTTTTCCTGGAGGGAGGCGTTGGTGAAGAGCGACTTTGGGTCGTCGGGGACGAAGTCTGTCGTCGGGTGGAAGGTCGTTATTTGCTGGGTGACTATGAGGTTTCTTGTGTTAAATATGGTGAGGGAGGTTCAACTGGGATGGAAAGAGACGAACATTCTGGCGCGAAGCCTGTAAGGTCGCCGACGGGTTCGAGGCGCTTGTCGCGGGCGGGTGACTGGAGGTATCGCCTCTCGACGAGGAGGCCGATGACGACGAGCATCAGAGCCGTGTCGAATACCCAGCGCCAGCGCCTAAAGGCCTCGCATTTCTTGGCGCACCGGCTTCGTCTTGTTGCACAACTACCGCCGTCTTCGATGTCTGCTTGCTTCCACGGCTTGTCGTCTTCGCTCAGCAGCGACACGCTGATGTCGGTCATAGAGTCATTGTGAGGCGAGACGCCGCGGCGGGTGTCTGAGTAAGGCGCGCTGCCGTGGTTCATGGCGTCGGTTGTCGTATGATGGAGGGAGCTCTTGATGAGTGAGGACTGACGACGATGGTTGTGTGTTTGCCTTTTCTCGAAGAGCATCCGTAAGACACACTTCAAACTGTCGAAAGCTTCAATCGATCATTGAAGAATAGAAAACCAAAACCCAGACTTCTGGGCCGCCAGCCGAGGACGCGACATCATGTCCCTATTATTCGGCCAACGTGAAACACCCTCTGGGCTGATGTTCCCCCTCAACGGCGGTGCGTGGCGTCGCTGGCCGGTCGATGATCTGAAGGAGATCCGACACTTTGTGTCTGAGAACGGCGGAGCGACGGGAGACGGTGACCCGTGCGTCTGTACCCTGGGCGAAAGGACTTGAGGACGACCAGTTCCCAAGTACGTGTATCCTCTGTTCTCGTAATAATACTTGCGATGGTGGAAATCCGAAATTCGGTCGCAAAAATAAGGATGGATTGAGTGAGGTCGGTGGTGAATGAGATACTTTACCCATGCGCCCACAAGATTTGCGCCAACATTCGCACTTGCAGGCTGCCAAAGCCAAGCTCAAAGCCTAACGAGTTAAGCATAATTCCCACTGGGCAGCTAGCTTCCTTCCTGTGAAGAATTATCATAGCTAGTGGCAGCTGATGATTGATCTTTCTTTACTATTTCCACTCATCGTTTCGCATTAAATTGCCTGCCTGTAAGCGTCACGAATCAAAAAGTAAAGTAACTTGACTCCATCCCGATGAGAATGAAATGCAAAAATGACAACTGTGAGATTCGAACTCACGCATCTTTCGATACCAGAATACAATCCTTTGGAAGGATAAGCTCGTCGCTTGAGTCTGGCGCCTTAGACCGCTCGGCCAAGTTGCCCAATGATATCCGCTGCGACTTCATTACTTGAGTACCCTCGGATGCAGGTGTGGAGACCTCGCCCTGGCGCAAGCAACCTTGGAAGCTTCATCCGAAGCACTGCTGGGCCCGGTGTTTTTTTTTTTTCTTTGACTTTGGCATTCTGCAGTTGACCTGATAGCTTCCTTCCTGAGTACAGCAAGCTTTTGGTCACCTACCACGTCAGAGCTGGAGCCCCAGAGCACCGCTCAACCTCTGGTCCAAGACTTGCGCGCCAGCTCTGGCTGACTTCATCGTATGAGCCTCACTCACATCACCTCCAACGAGACCAGACCGAATGTCTCGGATGCAAATGGCCTCCGGCATGGGCCCGTCCGCACCGGCCTCGGCGGCCGCATACCGCCGAGAACACCCTCCCCGTGGGCCCTCCGTTATCGTCGTCGTCGTCAAAATGTGGAAATCATTCGAGTTCCCAAGGGTCCAGTCGTCAGTGCACCGGGAGGCCTAAGCTAGACTCGGCCTAGCCGGTGGGAATACAGCGGAGACGAGCAGAGGACGGGAGTTGACGTCGGCAATCTTTCAAGCTTGCTTCTGATTCTCTTGTTGCTTTCACCCTGCTAACATGTTTGGCCTCCTTTGGGCGAGCTGGTTGTTGCTGGAAATAGACCAGTCGCGGCTCTCAGTTGTCGGGGACTGGCTACGATAGGTATCACTTTCATATTCTCCCAGCTTCTGAATGCATTTACTAGTACCAAGGTGTACTAGCTAGACTTCCAAACCATCAGTTCCTCGGGAGAAGCCTCCCGATCGCAACCCTCCCATGTCCTGGCGTCCGCACTGCCGGGACGAGGTGGCGGATGCGCATCTCAAATCCATCAACAAAGATTTTTTATTTATTTACATGGCCCCAAAGATAGGGAACAGTGGACCCTTGCAAATGGTGCAATACGCAGAGTTCCATTGTTTCCCATCCCTTGTTTAAATGTCCGTCGGTCTGCCGCTGCCGCTTCCACTTCCCGATTTCTAATACATCTTCCGACCTTTCGTTTCCTTTTGCTCGGCGTCAGATCAGGATAAGACCACGCTCGTTGGGGGCAAACACTTATTTAATGTTTAATCGCTCCTTCTCACTTACAACATCGACTTGAGCCGCCGGGCAGATTTCCCGCCTAGATCTTCGAAAGGATCGCCCTCGCAACGTCGCAACGAGCAAGGTTCATCCGCCAAGGAGGCTTGCATGAACCAACGATCCCCCTCTCGGGACAACATCACCACGAAACGACGAGCAAAAATCCCAGCTCTTAAAACCTAGAACATGTCTTCGGCCCGAGAACCGGCCGCCGAAGCCGATGAGAAGCACGGCTCCGCGCCCCCGGGCCTCCGTTTAAACCACCCCTCCGAAACGACTCTCACGCCCGGCTCGAACTCAGACAACGACCCCGAAACCCAGCCCTCCGCGGCAGCGGCACCCACGACATCCGACCCTGGCGCCGTCCCGGACGGCGGGCTCGAGGCCTGGCTCCAGGTCCTCGGGTCTTGGGTCGTCC